TTTTAACCAAGAAAGAAGCTTAACTAATGCATAGGATTGTTTTTTCTTAGTAAACTATCTTATTTTTACTTTAAATTAGAAAGAAATAGTTATCTTTTTGTTGGGGACGTTAAATCTTCAGACCTAACTTGGAAAAGGTCCTGATTTGTAATTATTATTTTGAAAGTTTGAATTTTATGTTTTCGCGCTAAAGACGCTCATCTTGACCTTCAGCTTGAATTTCTCACTCCGGAAATCCTTGACAATCATTGGTTGATGGATTATTTTAGTACGCTATTTTGTGGCTCTCGCCGAGGGCGTTTTATTAGTCGTATAAATAAGCTTAAGTTGTGTGCATGTGGACCTCGTGCTTTTTGGGTGCCTGTGGAATACATTTCTCTATGTCTTATCAAGACTTCTTCCTCTGGTTAGTGGGGTCTGGGACGATCGGATTAGAGTAGCCTATCGTGTCGCTGAATCATTGATATTCGTTCCATTTACCGAGTAAGGTGAACTCGTAAGAGCTGCAAGCATATCACTGTTAAAATAGTTGTAAATTGTTCCATTTGACACTGATAGCAGTGCTCATTCAATAACAGAACTAATTCACTTTTATTTAGTTTGTTTATTATTGTGATTTGTATAAAAAAAAATTGACTCAATATTAATAACATGAAATATATTTTTTTAAAAACATGGTATTACATAAGATTAGTTTTCAGTGTTTCAAGCTAGGCTAACCATTATGAACAATATTGGTTATCATAAACTGTTTATAACCATAGAATAATGTAAACGGAATAAATGTATAATTCAGCAAAGCTGATCGTTTTCCACATCGACTCGTTGCACTGATAAATACTCAGTGCAATAATCTTTACAACATTTATTATTCAAGAAAATTAGTCAAAATCAGATCGATGCCGTAATGCATTGATACGTTTTTAGAACTATACACCTAGTGGTGTGGTTTAATTTCTTACATTTCTGTTAGAAATCAATAAGTTAAATAGTCATTGTGTGATAAATATGGAACCTGGTTGATCCAGTAATTTAAGTCAACAATATATTTATACGTCAATATTTGTAACATAGTTGATGACAGTAGATTAGAAATTCTTACACTGTCTCTATTATTTTCTCTTGGGAAAACCAATATAAGATTTCTGACATTTTGTCTGTCTCGCTGCACATAATAATAGTGACTTGAAATAGCCTAAAACACTTGGTCATTATGCACACGTATACATCAATACTGAAAATTATTGAATATTGAATAGTTTCTGTTTATCCAACTAGTTAAGTCAACTAGTTTTGACAAGCTAAATTACACTAACAAAATGTAGATAAGTTTAAAATTAAAACTGTCATAAAAATAAAAGATTGTGTGTGTGTGTGTGTATGTGACAATATCCTATATTGTAAATAGGCCACACATTACTATTTAATAATTGAAAATTAAAACTCATTTATCTTTTCACCATAGTTAATCAGCTAATATTCCATCGTTGATAGATGAATACTTCTCAATGTAAACGTTCATTTGCATGTACACATATTAACGAATACACATGGATACATATGGATACTTACTATTCATATCCTTTACGTAAGGTGGTCTACACAAAGTATTTTGGCGCCATTATCAATATTCACTGTAGAAGGAATAATGTGAAAACTATGGATAAATGTGTGTGTATGTGTGTATGTGTGATTATTTAACATGATATAAATTATGTTTTGCAATATTCCTGTATATATATATATATATATACAGAAGAAATGCTTTAAATGGGCAAAATATTGATGATAGTTTGTTTACATACTGCCGTTTAATTTTCTACAAAATAATTCATTCAGTCACTTCAACAACAACAACAATAATAATAATCATCATCATCATCATAGAAATTGAAGATTATATTTTTTTTAACTAGAAGAAAGCACAACATTTCTTTTTTTTTACCCACAAAAAAAATTATTATTTGCTGACATTTCCAGTCTTAGTAAATTTATCTAGACACTATGATATCTGTGACTGTATATATATGTATATATATATGTATATGTTCTGTGAAATTTTAAATACTAAGAAGTAAATGATGAATTGTGTTTACAGATATACAATTTTCCCATCCCCGATACTTGTATACATTGGAAAAATTTTTTAAAAATTGTTTCTTAAACTGACACTTTATGATAAATCGGATTCTAATAAGAGAGACTGATAATAGTCATTCTATTTAAGTTTACAATAAAAATGTTTTAGTTTTCATTTAAAATTCATTTGTTTTGTTGCGGTTGTTTTAATCATTTAAAATTTCAGTAAAATAAAACTTGGTTACACAGTCAGTCAGACATGTAGGTATGTGTAGATTTGTAGGTATTCACTACTAAAATCACTAGTTGCATAAATACTAATCATGATTTTATCCTTGATAGTTTTTTCCATGGACATTTAAAACTAAAATCATTTTCAATCGATTTGTTGTTGCATCCAGTAGTTATGTAATGAATTTTATTTAACTAACTAACTAACAGTGGTTAATGCTTCCTGTTTTTAGTTTAAAATATCATTAGTTAACACGAAAGTTCATGCCAATTCTTTCAAAGAGTGTTACAGAGTAACAAATATCTATTTCTTCTTAAATTAGATTTTTTAAACAAGAGAAACTGATCTTTTAGTGTAACACTATTTAGATAGAGAGTTGGGATACAGTATTTGGTAATTTTAAGTTTAGTTGATTGATATTGCATGACTCTCGTCAGTTTTAATTTACTCATAAGTCTCTTTAAGTAGATGTGTGAAATTTATGATAAAAATTTCTGAATTAGTTGCTTTTTATCAAGCGTCAAATAAAGGTCACATTTTCATTCGCCAAACTATAGGATATCACTTTCCAATCTCAGTGGTTATCAGTAGGTTATAGGTTTATATCCGAACAAGAAATAAAGATCAACTGAAGATTTACAATTGACCGATCGTTGAGTAGTGATCATTTTCATGTAAATCAAGTCCCCGTTTGATCGGATTTTGTTGATCAGACAGTCACTGTTCAGATAACTCAATGGTAACGTGACACGGGCTTGAATTTACTAGAGAGTATCAGCTCCCTCAAGATTTCAGGTACACCTTCTTTACGAGTGCTGAATATCATGAAACTTAGATCTAAGATTTCCTTTCAACTGCCTCCAACCACGACTTTTTGTCTACTAGAGAATTTAGGAACTGACAACGTCTTAATTTCAACGTACAATTCTAATTCGATGGTTTTGGTATTTCTGTCGATAAATTAGTGACACATTCTTAATTGTCTATACAGCTTTACTTTTTACAGCTAAATAGATTTTCAACTAGTTAACAGTGATGATAACAAGAATTTTTCCTAGAAACTATTCCTTGAAGACTATGATTACTGAGTTTCAAGTATCACTAATTAACGAAGTATAGAACTTAATGAAATAATCAGCAGATAAATTCTATCCTCATTACAATCTGCCGATTGCGTCACTGACCTTCAACTAATATCCTCTTGGCAGGATCATTGTGTGGTTAAAACATTAACCACCTATGATAATGATAAGAATCATGTATTTTGTAATCAGCATGGGAAGCTTTCATCTCATTTATAGCGTATACTAATTCAGTAAAGTCAGCTGTTCAATTTCAAGTGACTTGAATATTTCACTGAATGAAATTAGTTTATAGTCTATACTGGCCAATGCTGTTTTCTGTCCAACGTTCACAGTGTTCTGTTAAACGAAACTTTTTAGACTGCCTTATTCAGTTTCATACTTTTCATTATATTCTTCAATTATAGATCGAAATTTCACTTTTTTTTTCACTCATTGATAAAATGTATACAAAATCAAGGTGAATCTATTAAGTTAGTTACGTTAGTAAAGTACAAACAACAATCAATATCATAATTAAATATCTAGAGGTTGAATAGATGAACTAAATGAATAAGTCAGTCACGTGATGATTGGTAATATATGTACTAATAGAATACAATCAACATGATATCAGTTGGATTATTACAGGGACTATTAACTGGTGTGTACGTGTGACTATTTTATTGCATAATTTTGAGATGGTGGAGAAAACTTGTAGCTCAGGTGGATGATTGTGGTGGTGTTTTGTTCTCTGAGCTCAGAGAACAAAACACCACCACTATTGCATAATTCCTTATCAATAAACCTATATATATATATATATATATATGACTGACATTACGTTTGTGTAATCGTTTATACTTTCCCAGCAAATGTAGGTTGTTTGTTATATAGATTCAATGTAGAGAGTCAATTGTCAACAAGTAAACTTTTATTATTGTTTTTATTTTTATGAATTCAGTATTCCATGGATTGATTGAAGATTACAACATAGTTGGTTGAGAGCAGTTTGAATGTCGCCATAAGCAACAATATCTTAGTGATCTTCATTCATTCTAGCCTTCTAAGTTAAGTTATTTTTAATTTGTCAATATGACTAGAATTTTAAACCAATAGAAATATTGAATTTTATCCACCCTATATATTATAAATAACTAGATAACCAATAATTTTTAACTTCACTTCATAGTAGTATAATGATAATGTATGAAATTTTTCTTAGGGTGTGAACTAACTAATCCTGAATGATGAAGTGTGTGTACACACCAATATAATACATCCTACGTCTTACATATAATCATGATAGTGATTAGAGTGGGTGATCGCGTGTATCACTTTATGGATAGATGATGTCGAGACAGTTTTTTTTTCCCTCACCCTTAACTTTAACATTGTGGATTAATATGTATTTCTATCACTCTATCTATATTACTAACTTGATTTTCTTGTTTCTTCCTCTCTCTCACTCTCTCTCTCTCTCTCTATGTTGTATATAATCTCTCTGTCCTTTTATGAAAAACTTTCTCTCTTTCATATAAATGATAAATATGATAATAGGGGAAAAGTCACTTATTCTAGACTTGTCGACTGTAGGTCATACGGCGCCAAACTTAATACCTTGGCGACAAACAATCGGCGCCATTAGTCAACATTCAAAGCAGTAAAGTAACCCTTATGAATACGTCCTTATGCTATGGAAACAGAAAGGACAAAACTATACCATTTGACGCCGTCAACACTTATATTTCTCAAAACGTCTAACTTTAGTCGTCTATCAATAGATTACTTTACAATTTCAAAAATTATTTCTCCATACAAATTCCAAAGAATTTTCGATTATGTATTTGAAAAATGTTGGCAATTAAATTATTCTATCAAACACGTTGGATCATATCTTACATCAACTAACAGAAATAGACTATTTTTAAACAGGATATACAAATTGATTAGCGTCAAGTTAAACAAAACAATTTTATTCATTATTTTTAATAATCTAATTGATAAATTAAATTTTTTCATTATTTATTTAAATTTTATTATACAATTATTATTTATCACTTATTACATTTCATATCATACTCAAAGACTAAAATATTTCATTTGTACAAATGTCAATGTTAATACTACTAAAAATAACAATGATGATGATAAATTTGTTAAAAACAAATCCTTTCTCAAACAATCAATACATCAATCCAATGAAATACAACCAGTGAAATTCTTATCATTACCATGTTTTACTACAACAAATGGTCTGTCTAAAAACAATTCAAACAAATCTAACCATGTGCATCGAGTAAATGTTCGTCATTGTTTAACATGGATGATTATTATTAGTTTTGTATGCAGTTTAAAACCAATTGAAGCTAATGATCATGTTCATGATTCATTGAAATTACCAAATGAATATAATTTAATTCATTTATTACAATCATTGTCAACGATTGGCAAACAAATTAATTTTAATATTCTGACAAAATCTGAACAAAACACATGGAATTATTTATTAGAGAAAATATTAAAATCACAAATAAATCTTGTAAAAAATAATACAGCATTGGATTTGACGCCTAGTATGACTATTGTTAAAAAAAGTAGTATTCTAAAAGAATTTTCAAAAAATAATCCTAAGCATACTACTACTACGACGACAACTACTACTACTATTCAAAAACCTTCCAAAGCAGAATTAATTGCTAAAACACCTAGTTATATGTTTAAACTACATGAACGTCATATGAATGATTGGCATAGTTTTGGACGTTATGAATCAAATCATTTATTACATCCGGATTATGTGAAATATTTAAGTGACAATCAAATTTCAGTAGATCATCATAAACAACAACAAAGCGAAAAAACTCATCATCATCATCATCGTCATCATCTTGGCATGATCACAGCAATCAGACATCATAAACATATAGGTAAGCAAAGATTATTTGCGATTCACATAAAAAATTTTTGGGGCAGAGTTTTGGAGGTTTGTGTTTTTTACACATTCGAAATCATCAATCAACCATTGTTAGATCACCATTAGAAACCTGGAAGCACTGGGTGAGGTCACGCAAAATCCCTAGATCAGTCAGAGTTAGACATTAACACCACTGGATACCGGCCCATAAGGTCCGATGGTCAGGCGTTTAATACCGAAGGTCCCGGGTTCGAATCCTGCGAGGAGCATGAGTTGTGAATGCGCACTGTCTATGATGAGTCCCATACCAGGACGAAGCGGCCGTCCAGTACTTCCATGTTTCTAATGGTGGTCTAACAATGATTGATTGATGATTTCGAATGTGTGAACAAATTTGTGCCTATTAGAACAACACATAATAAGCGAACAATATCGTTTTCGCTTAGATCGCGATCAGACTTTACTCTAATATTATACATGAATATTTATGTATGAAAATGTTAAACCAATCGATTAGAGTAAAGCTTGATGACGATCTAATGGAAAACAATATTGTTCGCTTATATGTGGGAGTCTTTAATATTCTTAAATTTTTTTATGATGCAACATTTTAGATGAGATAAATGAAAGGGGAAAGGTGTGTCGCTTTAATTCAACTTATTAGTTTTGTAAAATCTACATGGTGTAGACAGACAGATTAAAACTTGTTGTAGAGTTTATTTACTACGTTTTATTTGGTGTTTTTATTCAACAGTAATAATAAATTAAATGATGATTTAAATAAAAGATGTGAAATTACTTCAATGTAATGCTAAAATTGTGACTAATCTACTTGATTAATTCAGAGAGAGAGAGAGAGAGGCTAATGAGAAACTTTTCATTCACTTATTTATGCATGAAGCAGTGGTTAGTTGTTAGTTCTAATTTGGTTTGACAGTGAAAATATCTCTATTAATCATTTAACTAATCAATTTCGGAGTATTAATTGTCAACTTGTTTTGATTTAGATTTTCCAATATATTTTTATTATAAATGAGGAACTAAATGAGGAAGGGAATTAATTTGAAAATCCTAGTATGTTGGATTAAAATCCAGTGATTGTGTAATAGTGTGCTTGTTGGGAATTCGTCACCTGTTTTTTTGGTAATAATTGTTTGAACGGTGAAGAATGCAGACCAGTAATAGATTTTAAACTGGTTCAAAGCGAAAATCAAATAGTCCTTGGTGTTTGATCAGATTTCTTCATTGAAATTAGTTTTTTTTGGTAGAACGAAATAGTTTGTGTATTCATTATCAAGTTAACTAGAATTGTGAATTTAATATGGTAAACACTCATTTTTTGGGCTTGTCATTACTCTGATTGTCAGACAGACTGATACAACGCAGAACTGCGTACGTACATACATCAGTTCAGGTTGCCATACCACATCAGCACAGAGAAGCAACTGTTACTTCAAATCCAAGAGTGATAGCAATAATAGAAGTATTAGCAGTAATGGATAAGATTAGGGAGCGAAGATATGATTCGCGAAGTATAATTCAGTAAGATTAATTTAGAAGGAAAAAGGTAGAGATTATGAGAAATTCAGAAAGTTAGAGTTAGAGAGAACACAAACAGTGGATGCACCTGCACCATTACAAGCGATTCTGAGCCATGTCATTCAAGGTCTCTAACCATTGGTGACTATCGTCTCGCGGACCCCAACCAGGTAGCCTACATCTACCAACATGACTCAGTCCATTTGTCAGTGACTTTATGGATTTCTGCCATGTTTTAGTTTGCCCGCCCCTAGCTTTCTTCCAACCTACTCTGATTGTAATGAATTTTCGTTACATGTTCTGATCTGTGATGCTTATTCACTGCCTATTATAGTAAAGATTTATAATCACAAAATGAATGAGATCTATCTGATCACTGATTATGAACTTTATTTGTAATGGCTTTTACGACGAAGTAAAGAAAATTTAAAGATTTTTGTGCCCTAATGGCAATAGCCAGGCAATCCACATAGGATGCACATTTATCAAAGCAGACTGATCAATTTCAGTGGTAAACAACAATGGGAATATTCATACAATCAATACATCTTATTGTACAAACCTATGACTATCTGCATTCAATAACTAAATGGATGACACGATGGCATTTGAGACGAAAGGTGCTGGGTTCGAGTCCCATGAGATAGATCAACTCTAGGATGTAAGTTCATCAAGCTGATGAGCCCAAAACATTGCTAGCCGCTATCTACTTCTTCTTAGAATGTATACATGTTTGGCCTGTGAAGTATTTAAGCGGAAATTATTCAACAGAGAAATGACTGAAGTACTTATCTATTAGACATTGACGTGAAATTAGAACTTTAGATTGGACAATTTTGATATCATGTTTAGTTCATATGGTTGTGGTTTAGTTATGGTGTGAACACCTTGAAATAAAGATCTTTGATTAAGATACTCTATGAATAATAATTCAAACTTTACAAGGAACCTAGTTTTCAATTTATTCCATAATCATAACTTTCTGAAAATGTTCATAAGAAAAACTAAAACTTTTCATTCGTTGATAAATCTGTCTGTATTTCATTTTTCCCTACTAAATCGTAAATCTCACAAACACGGTCATTTCAGTTTAAATGCAAATTTGTATACGCCAACTATATTTGACTAATTGACCTCTGTAAAACAAATGCTAACAAACTGTCCGATTAGACATCACACGAAAGTATCATTAATTATTTATTGTTCACTTCAATTGAAACACATAAAAAACAAAGAACAATTAAATGATTGAAAATCTTAAAATGAATATATTTTTTTGAGGTAATGTTTACCTTACGAGAAACAACAAAACTCTCCATGTATACGTTAATGTAGATTGATGTGTACTATTTTTTTTCAGAACTGCAGTACCTTCAAATAATGATAATCATTAATCTTTTCACTTGTACAAACTGATGTGAACAGAGAATGAGACTTCACTTACCGATATGTGTTTTTTTTATATATACAATTTTCTTATTATTGTTCCCATAAAAATGTGACTGTATTCTTATAAAATACAAATTTTTGCTGGTTTAATGTAGAACTGTGTAGTTTTATCATTTCTCTACAAAATCTACTAGTGATTATGCAAATTTTGATTTACGGCAATGCTTAATACCTGGTATAGATATCATTATTACAATCATTACTACTACTACTACTACTACTACTACTACTACTACTACTACTACTACTACTACTACTACTACTACTACTACTACTACTACTACTACTACTACTACTACTACTACTACTACTACTACTACTACTACTTTTACTCATACTAAAAGTATAATTATTACAACTGATAGTACCTAGTGTCAATACCAATATTACTCTGAACAGTACTATTTGTAACCTGACCATAAAGTGTGAAGTTAAAAAAAATTCCAGTCGTTAAATAAATTAATATTAAGCAACGTAGTATTGAAAAAAACTATTCTTTACTTTTCATTTATTTATTTATTTTCCATGATTGTTTAGATATATATATTTTTTGGTTGTTGTTGTTGTTTAAAATGGCGCCAAAATACTTTGCTTACAATGATTATTTGTATACCACCGATGTGTTGTGGTCATGGTACATGCCTTTCAATAATGAGTGTGGTTTGAAGCTTCTTCTCTCCTTATATATATATATAAATTTTTTTTAATTTATGCATCCTGTTTCTCCTGTCTCAGAGGTTGGTGGTGGGGTTGGGCGGGGTGAAGCGGTGTCGGGGGTGAACGGAAAAACTCAAAGGTAATGCGTATGCATAGGGATGGTGAGTGAAGAATACAATGAATTGAGTGAAGTAGCAATAAAAAGTCAATAGAACAAGTTGAATTGTGAGGATGGATTGTATTTTATGTAGAGAAAAAAAAACAAAACAAAACAAAACAAACATACAAGGAAGAGAAAAATTCAAATAAATTAAGAAACAGAATGATAGAAAGTATATCCATCTACATATATATATATATATATATATATATCTTTAGACTCAATATTATTATTATGATCATCATTAATAATTTACTATTTAATGGAAAGTAATATTAATGAGGAGAATAAGTCTGGATTCAGCATAACCATAGACGACTGTCCGTAAAAATTCTACGTGTGTGTGTGTGTGTGCGAGCGTGTGCGTGCGTTTGTGCATCAATGCACGGTTGCATGTGAATAGTAGTAGTGAAAATTTTAATTGTGGAATAAATTTTACAAATAATTTGTTTGTTTTTTTTTCACAATACTAGAATTGTCAATTTAATGACAAAAACTTATCATAAAGCCCCCCCCCAACTTAAACACATAATGATGTGGGTGTGTCTGTGTGTATGTGTGTGTGTGTGTGCACGGAATAAGCCAAGTTGAACAATTTGAAGATGAATAATAGACAATCACATTTTAATTTTGTTTAAATTAATGAATGTTAAGTACTCGATATGAAAAGTTGATTTAGGATCTTTCTAATGACTGATTATTATTATTATTATTATTTTTAGAGCCTATATTTTCAGATGATAGGCTTTTGACTGATAAGTTGTCTGTTTTGCATACTGACTTATTGATAAGTTTGTCTACAATTCTATTGTGTGATTGAATATGATGTGTACTTATTTTACTAGTCAAATTCACTTGTTAGATAAATATACTTGATAGTAAAATAATATATTGTTGACTAACTGGAGGCTAGGGAAACTATATACTATCGAGAATCAAAAGATCGACAACCATTTTATCTTAGTTATGACACTCCTTAACCGTATAAATTCATAATTCAAGGACTGAGCTCTGATCATCTGAGTCTCACGGCAAGCGCCTAACCTTTAGACCACCGAGTCTCAACCCAAGCTTCTATATATCTAACTACAAAATGAAAAGTCCTGAGTTCGACCACTGATGGGGATCAATCTGTGTCTACTGTTGTGGGGTCCCACATTAAGATGAAACAGGTGACTATTACTTCTCGACTAAGGATGGTTGTTTTT